AAAAGACTGAAGGATTAAGAGAGCTCTATCAATGTTCTTTCATTCTTCAGTTTGCCAAAAACTAGAAATAAACTTTGTAAAGGTCAGTTCTAGAAAAATTCATTCTAAAAGGCAGAAAACTGTATGATAGTTGAATGTATCTTCATTCTCATCTGTTTTCTGTATTCTGTAAAAAGAGAGCTTGCCCCAGCTTTGTTTCTTAGGGCTGTCTATTTCTTAGTCACCTTTTTTTTTATTTTGACAGCACTTTTGTGGAAAGTTTATCTTTTATTAGCCGTTAGGTCTCCAGTCATCGTGAACTGCAGAATCCTTTGGGGCATGTTGAACTTTTATTCTACTGTTGTCTCTCTCTCTCTCTCTCTCTCTCTCTCTCTCTCTCTCTCTCAAAGCCTTATCGCTATCATTTCTTTGAAAGGATGTCCCCAGCTTAATATTTGAAGGTTAGTCTCTGACAGAACCTTTTAATCACACAGGCAGAGAATTCAACCAGGAGTATTAATATTCCAGTCTCATACTTCCGAGTTTAATTAGCTTGGTTAGATATACGGTATATAGCAGGGAAACCTTGGCCATTAAAGAAAATTTGTTGATAATGGTTTAAATTCTTGCTTACTTTTAACAATAAACCTGTAGGTTTTCAAAATTATAAAGAACCATACCACACACAGCCAGTCCCCAAAATGGCACAGAATCAGCATCAAGAGATCCTGATTACAAAGATACAGGTATCTTAAGGGGGGAAGCACCCCCAAGTTCCTGAAGAACATGCATTTTGCCAAGAATCACAAAAAGGCCTGAAGGAAATGCAGGCCAACAATACCAAGGCCATGAGCACACCTGCTGAGGCTATCACAGCCCTTGTAAAGTCCAAGGAGGTCTAGTCCAAGATACCAATGACGGGCCTAATTGCTCACTCCAAGCTGGGAAATGAGCTCATGCCCACGTTGCCAAGGGTCCCAGGCTCCACCCAAGGCCCAGACTGCAGCTGCAGTCCCAGCTCAGGCTCAGGCTCAGGCTCCCAAAGGTGCCCAGGCCCCCCCAAAGGCTCCAGAGTAGAGGCCTCTCTGTCTGCCAATTTGAGGCCAGAAGGGCTGCTGTCTACATGGGGCTGATGCTCTACTGTGCTATTTATATAATAAAACCCTAAGATACAATCTGTTTAAAAATAACAAAAAAACCTCACACACCTTGATTATTTTTACATAAATACACATATATAGAGACTATAAATGCATATAATATAATATGTTTAATTTCTTTACACCTGATTTCTACTGAGGAACTGAGTATTAATAGCATGTTACATGTTTCCTTGGGTAAATAGGTGCCATTTAGATTAAAAAAAAATCACATTAAGATCTCAGAAATATCACTGTATGCTGAATTTACATGTTATTTAAATTAAGCAATTTAATTAATAATTAAACATTTATGTTTGCACCCTGAGGGTAGTGGTAGTCTTTGAGGCTCATTAGCAGGAGAACACACAAGACTGGAACGATATAAAGGAAGGTTTATTTTCTTAGTTGGGCTCCAACTAATTGCAGAAAAATAAACCTAGTGCTTTTGCCAACCTTAACTCTCATGGACGAGTAGGAAGTCCAAACTGCAGTCTTTCGATGTGGTCGTATATCTATTGCCAAGTTGCTTTTTAAAGTTCCCAAACAAACATGTCTGCTAATTAAGCAATATAAAAAAGGGAGGAACTTCTTGTGCCCTCGTGCCATTTTCTCATTAATTCTAGGAAATGACTCTGGGACTTCTTCCCATTATTTTCCAATAGATTAAATGACATCTTCCCCCAACCGACTCAGGTAAAAGTGCCAGGTATGCTTTCATCTTGGACTTTATACTCTTTGAATGAAGACCAGACCCATCGGTGCCCTTTGAGGTTTAAGATGTCCTTCTTCATAATGTCATCTATTAGAGAAAGGTTTTAGGAAAGGTCAGTTTTCCCCCAGTGTAAAAGAAAAGGCTGGCAATTCATATAAAGTCTCTTCTTGCTGCTTAGAAGTACTTTCATGTCAAAATTTGTTGCAATCATTTCCCCATAAAGTAGGTTTGAAATAGCAAATAGTAGAATTGAGTTATATTCATAATTAAATGATATATATTCTTATATTAAAATATTTTTATTTAAAACAATGCAGTTTTGAAGTATAAGGGAAGAAATCATTAAACAGGGTAGAGATTGGATCTATCAGTCTAGACTCTGACAGGAAACAGCACACTCAAAGGATTAATTGAAGGGACTACACATAAAAACTAGTTACCATGACGTGGCCAAGAATAAGAGCATCAATAAGATGCTTTGAAGATCACAATGACTAAGAACAGTGGTGAACTGTGAATGTCTCTAGATTTAGAAGGATAAGGAGACACCATAATATAACTAGAACTGGGCAAATGATGTAGCCCTGGGAAAGAGGCCTCATGGTAGAAATTCTGACTGTAAGCAAAGGTACACAACCACTGTGAAACTATGGCTAGTGAACAGATGGGGGGAACAATAAAGTTCAAAGGCTCTTTCCTTTCTCCCTTATGTTGAATTTAACTCACTAGACCCAATGGGAAGTAAGAGTGAAGGGCACCCTAAAAAATTAGGATTTCTGACCTCAAAAGCGGTTGAAGAAGCACAGAAAATTTACCTGTGGGAAGGTGAAGCAAAACCAGTACCCACATACAATAGATTATCATCTTTGAAACTGAACCCTATATTTCAACACATATACTTTTTTTTCCACATCCTTGACACTTTTTAAACAGAAATCTGGAAACAGAGAATAGAGAATAGTTTGAAGAAAAGAAATATTTTTTTATGGATAAAGACATTAAACTTTTAAGCTGTTCTCTCTATTTTAATGAACTCATTATGTTACTAATTACATTATTTTATTTCCTCTTCACATCACTGATACTAGATGTCCTCTGATAATTATTAGCAGATACTGCCATTTTGATTTGAGCACTGGCACATTAGTTACATATTATTACTTCTTGGAGATATTGCAATAACAGAAGTTGGCCTAACATCAAAGAACCAGACTAGAACTTTTCTTCACTTTCTAATTTCTTGCTCATAAAAATGTACAATTTAACTGATTTTTTTTCTTTTATCCTTGTATATTGCAGCAATGAAAATGGGAAACAACTGTGCAGATCCCTTTGTAGAACATTCCCATATTATAGGGATCTCAATCTAAGAAACATACTGAATTCCCCTCAGTTGGAAGGGCTTTCCACCTTTACTTACTTTTAATAAGTTTATTGCTTTCTACAGAGCATGTAACTGTGTTGTTGGGAATAGAAATGCGATGCATAATTTCTGTTCTCAACTTAATTAAGTTAGAAAAAGAATCAAAACTTAGACAAATGAAAAGTCTCACATCAACACAATTGAGTAATCAATATAATATAACATGAAATATACTCTGTCTTAGGAACAAAGCTCACATTTTGCAGTTTTGACATTTCCCAGTTGGCTCTTTAAATGATGCTTATTTAGCATTCATCCCTTTGAAAAAAAGATCATATGAATAAGCTCCATGGCCTTGCTGAGGGTCAGCCAGTCCCGGGCTTCAAAAGAGACAGAATCAAATTATGAAACCTACTGATAATGCAATCTGTAAATCAACTTCAGGCTTTTCAGGCAGGATATAGGGAATAAAGACATCAATCCAGAATCCTCTCACTCTTTAGATAATAATTTGAGATTTATCTGCAATAACTTCTACAAGGCTGTCATGTGGAATATGTGTCTGTGTATTTGAAACAACATAAAATTCACTTCTTTTATTTGTACCTTAAATCCTGGTAACTTGCCCTAAAATAATTTCTTTTTAAAAATATGTTTTTTGAGGTGCGCTCTCCCTCTGGGGATCACTGTCCCCAGCTTTAATAAACATCCTCTAATAATCACCTGGACTCGCGTTGTGAAATCTTTCCTGCACAAAGTCAAGAACCCACATACTGCTGGCTGGCCTGGGGCAGACCCGCTCAGGCCCGGGTCCCCTTTCTGGTAACATCCCTTCAGACCAAAAACACAGGGCCTCTCCCCCAAGACTAAGGACACAGAATCTTCCCCCCAGACCAAGAGCACAGGGCCACTCTCCCCCAAGACCAAAAACACAGGGCTCCCTCTCCCCCTGTCCCATTAAAAGGGCTGTCTCCTGGGGAAGTAAAAGAAGCCATGTTTCTCATCCTGCCCCATCTACCTGTTGATGAGGCTAAGTCCCAGTGAGTATGGTTGAGAGGTGAGGGATCCGTTCTTCCAGCCCCCACTCATGGAATAGAGGGTCTACCTTGGGTACAGTGTGCTGAGGATACTGGGGCCCGGATAACCGCAGTGGTTTCACACCAGGAAAGGCAAGAGGAGTGGGCCTCAGGCTGCTCCCTCTCCCCATCAGTACTCAGCTCCTAGTACTGGAAAGGGGACTTGGCCCTGAGGGGGTCTGCCTAGGGCCGGCTAATAGTGTGTGGGTTCTTGACTTTGAGCAGGAAAGATTTCACAACACAAGTCTGGGTGATTTTTAGAGGATGTTGACTAAAGCTGGGGTCAGTGAAACAAGGAAGAACCTAGGATAGAAGCAACAGGAGACACACTAGGTGGGGAAATGAGCCTCAGCTGGGCTGCTTTGGATCACTAAGAAGTCAGAGAAAGGGGGGCCTTGGGGACAGGTTCAGGATGAGCCGCTGCTGCCCATTGCTCCCTGGTGGCAAGCTCATGGGGTCCCGTAGAATTTAGGAGATGCATGCTTGTGGGGGAAGAAGAGGAGGGAAGGAAAGGTGCAGGCATGCTCCTGGGAGGGAGGGTTCTTGCTGGGTCCTTTGTCTTGAGACTTTCATCTCTTTCTTGCAGGTGGGAATCTTAATGGAAGTTTTAGGAGAGTTTCAGCAGAATAGTCATCAGTTTCCAGGTTTGCTCTTTCAGGGTCATGGTCTCCACTGGTTGGTCAGTGCCAGGCCAGGGGGCCATTAGTCATTGCAGCTGGTCCTGGCGTCACCCGCCTGGTTTTGCTGCTTTTCTGGGACTGGAGCTGGAATACAACCGAGGCCTTTATGTTATCTCTAGGGAGTCTTTTTTATGGATCTTTCTAAAGATGTAACATATTTGCATGATTATAGATCTGATTATAATGCAACTTTGCTTTTCTGTAAGATATAACAACCCAAGATAACAATTTCTTGGTAAATAATAATTACTATGAAATGACATAAAAGAACAATACAAAGTCCACATTTTTTAGACTCAACACACAATTTAAATATCTGAAGAACAAATAATATGCATGACTTCAAAGCACTGCAAATGTTTCAAGGGAGTGTGTTTTGAGCACTAGAGAAAATTCATAAACACCCCAATGGATGGGCCACAGACACCCAGAGACCCACTGCCCAGTGCCCCCAAGGGACCTGTCATTCTTTGCGTGCCTGCTGACAGGACACCTGCTACCCGAGAGCTCCCTGTTTGAACTTGGCTCTGAATCTTTGCAGGTTTCTCCCTAAGGCAGGATGTAATCTCTAGAACATCCATTTTAATAAAAATAGATGTATGCAAATGAAACATAGATTGGGTTTTTGTTTTTGTTTTTATTTTTGTTTTTTGGCAAAGCTTCCCATGTAATTTCAAGCATATCAAATCTGCCTCATTAGTTTAAAAAAATATGTGTTTTCAGTATGGAACACCTTTTATTTTAATTTTTTTAATATCATACAGTAAAATTGACTCTTGTTTTATTGTCCAAGTTAAATTTTGGGATAACAAATGGATCCATAATACCATAATCCCCCCAAAACTATTTTGTATTTCCCCTTTATGGTCCAACACACACCCCTCCTTATCCCACTGAAGTAGTTTGCACCACTATAGTTGTATCTATTCAAGAGTGTCATATAAATCAAATCACATCAAAATCATTGATTGTGCAAACATTTGGTACTGGCTTCTTCTCATTTGTAAAATTCATTTTATTTATTTATTTATTTGTTTATTTATTTATTTATTTATT